ATGTAGACCACCAGCATCCCATATAAACTATAAGAGATACGGTAAAAGCCTCAAAGTAAAAGTTATTCAGCATGACAGGCCGCTTCTGCTGGCACATGGTCACGAGGGTCCGGAGTACCTGATGTAGACCACCAGCATCCCATATAAACAATAAGAGATACGGTAATGGCTTCAAAGTAAAAGTTATTCAGCATGACGGGCCGCTTCTGCTCGCACATTTACCTCTGCTGGATTGGAGTAATGGACTTATTACTACGGGCAAAGATCCAATTTCTACGGGAAAACAGGTAAGTAGCAGCGGGTGAAACCGCTGGGCGGGCTGCTAGTGTTGTAATAAAGTGAGAAAAATCGACTTGTTTGAAAACAGGCGAATTTTGTCATTTGTTTGGGAAGTCGTCCACATAAACGCCATTATCTCCGAAACCAGACATAGAAAGTATTTACCCGTCACATATTTTTTTAAATACACCATAATACGTAACATATAAAAAATAGAAAAATTCACGCATATTTTTTTACCTCTATTTCGTGCGGTGTAGTGTACTTAACTTTTTAATAAAAATATGTTTGTTTTGTCTATATCTTTTTACCTGTTAGACTTAGCTATTATACATGTATGAATGAAATTTGGGAAATAATATTTTCTTCATTCTTTTTATACATACTTTTGTCATAAAATCAATCGTTTACAAGTTATTCGCAAAAAACCTGTTTTTAGAACTTTCAATTCAAGGTGGCGGCTAGAGCCTGGGAGTCTCGATGTCGAAAACTTGGGGTTTTATTTGTCCTTGATACCTTTACAAGATTATGCAAAAACATAATCCGCCCCACCTTTTGCGAATCAATGTTTGCTATACGTTCCCCACAGAATGGCCTAATTCAGCCAAGGTCAAAAACTCTACGTCGCCTTTTACAAAACACCCTGAGTGGACTAGGGGTGGCAATATCGCCAGTTGCTACCACATACATAAGAATAAATAATAACACTACCGTGTAGAAGTGAAACTCCTTTGTCTGGGCCCGAAAAGCCGCGCTTTAAATACCTACTTCCCCCCTTAGCCCGTAACGCCCCGCGCGCTCCCGCACTATAAGCAAGGGCTGTCACGTGCTATTAATTTTATTCCAAACTAGCGGCTCGCCAGGCAGTTGCATGACTTTTGGCATAGTATGTACACACCTACGCGCCATAGGATGAAAAATCGTGCAAATGCAATTATTTTAAAATATTTGCGATGACTACGAATTTGTTTGTTACCATAATCAGCTAACAATAACTTAGACACCTTACCTTAGGTAGGTAGGTATGTCGGGTTAGAAAACTGAAACTATGTAGTAGGTACCGAAGTGAGTAAAAATAAGAGAACACAAAACCAATACGTACCTATTAAGAATGGTAGGTACCTATTTACTGTACCTAGAACCTTTGCTCATCTTTAGGCAAATAATAAAAACAAAATTAAAAATTTTGAAAGTACCCACGACTGTATAATGATGTTGAAAAAGGATAAAATAATTTTGAAACCCCCGACCTTAATAATCTATATGATAATTATGAGACAATTCACATTATGTAAAAGCTTTTATACAAGTGAGTTGATTTAATTGCTCACTGAGTCAGACATAATATGAACAACAAAGTATTCGCTATTTTAGCACTTTCTAACGTATGTATTTGGTTCTCAAAGATGTAGGTGTAGCAATCGCATGGGTAATTAACTCCTTAAATTAATAAATAACACAAGAAAATACGTTGGGGGCTGTGTTGAAGTTTTAAATATTGATAGAGCAGCCCCCGACGTATTTTCTAGTGTTATTTATTAATTTAAGGAGTTAATTACCTATGCGATTGCTACACCTACATCTTTGAGAACCAAATACATACATTAGAAAGTGCTAAAATAGCGAATACTTTGTTGTTCATATTATGTCTGACTCAGTGAGCAATTAAATCAACTCACTTGTATAAAAGCTTTTACATAATGTGAATTGTCTCATAATTATCATATAGATTATTAAGGTCGGGGGTTTCAAAATTATTTTATCCTTTTTCAACATCATTATACAGTCGTGGGTACTTTCAAAATTTTTAATTTTGTTTTTATTTTACTCTTTTTAAATAGAATAGGTTTAATATGATGTAAAAAGTATATTTGGTTAAGTTTCATTAGGTACAAAAATTTTAAAGGCATATTTTACTCACAAAGATGAACACTTTTTCATCAAAATATGAAAAACAAAATTGACTTCTCATACAAACATGTTGAAAAAGGTCGTCACGGAAAATTAAGTTTTTTTTTCTCATTTCGATGAGGAGTTGTTTTGTTTTGTGAGTAGAAAATATCTGCCGATAAAATATGTGTGCGTACGTAGTTAAAATAATTTAAACTCTGTATTCCTATTAAAATCAATGGAAATATCTGCAGGATGTGTTCTAGTCGTGAAACTGAATTTTTTTTTATTTTTTTTTTTCAAATTATGAATAAAAAAACATTTGTTCCATACAAACTGTTTATTTTGGCTATTTTTGGATGGCAAGTCCAAAATTAGTTTTTCATATCTCAATTATTTTTTACTAAGAACAGTTGTCCAGTTTCACTAGTAGAACATATCCTGAAAATATTTGCAATGAATTTAATAGGACCTTATATATTAAGGATTAGTCAATGGCAGCAAGAAAGTGGTTTAGGATTTAGTGGTTGAGTGGGAATTTTAAGAAGAGACCAGTTGGAAGACGGAGAGCTGTCCAAAAAGTCCTAGTGTAATTTAATGGCAGAAGTCAAAAGATGAAAATGGGTAGACATTGCACCAGCCGCAGCGACCAATCCAGCGACTGCATTTTTTCAATCTCTCTCTCTTCGTGTGGGACACCGAGTCGTTTAACGACCCGATGAACCCTGGTGTCAGAGTTTTTCAACCGCCTACTACAGGTAGCAGGCCTCTGGCATGGTTGTGTAACGACCGCCATCATAGACAGCAACCGGATCTTACCTTTCGGACAATCAGGTGGTTCAGCCTGCAATGTCCTGACCAGACTGGGAATACATTCACAAAGTGATAAATATTAACTTTGTGAGTGACCCCACCAGGTTGAACCCGAAACCTTCTGCGTGGTAGGCCGTCATACTAACCACTGCGCCACATCGGCTGTCAGGTAAGAACATATTATAGATGAAAAAAGAAATAGTGGCCACTGCGCCACATAGGCTGTCGATGCACTGCGCCACATCTTTTCAATGGAATAAGAGTTTTAAGTCCCCTTCAACCTCCTGCTGTTGGTTGTTCATTCATACTAGTCGCTCTGTAAAACCAGTACATTCTATGGGGAGGAAAACACTTCTCAACCCTCTGATGTTGGTCCTTAAATTCTAGTCGTCTTGTAGAAATCTGTACCTGCGCTTCTATTGTCTTTCTATGAGAAGGACACGAAGCCTCCCTCAAACCCTATGTTGGTTCTTCATAATCGAACAGTCAAAAACTGTTTAAGATCTTAGATAAGATAAATGAAAACAGATTAGCTAAAATGGTTTATATTTATATGATTAATATCAGAGTTTAGCCTAAATGAAGAATATTTACAGCACTTTCAGTAATTTATGATATTTCACACAGATAACGTTGGGCTTATTTTAATTGATATTTCACACAGATAACACACAGTTGTATTTACTGTTTTAGAAATAAAGATATGAATTTACACTCAAGTTTATGCCCAAAACCAGGGTCTGCAGGGCCTTAAAAATTTGCGGTAGCAATCGTATAAAGATCAAAACACTCCGCTTAACAAAGTCTCCGAAGACAGCTGCACTGCAATATATTACAATCATCAAGTAAGTATGTTATTGTTTGGTCAATATTTTTACTAGGTAATCTTCTATCAAATAATGAAGCCATGCAAAGAAAAACCTACAGTGACTCGGTTTCGTGGGTGAACCAGGGGAGCTGAGATATCTGTTAGCTTTAGGTACACATTGTGTAAGAAAGAAGTAATAATTTGTTTTGTCTGATCAGTAATGAAATATAATAATAACAAATTACTTGCATGTGATTATTTAGTATGACATGTTTCGCATTGGAAAACTTGCGGATTTAAACTTTATAATGACCACTTTGCACAAAATATCTCAATTTGATTATTATTCATGATGTGATGCTACATTTTATTCATATTATTGAATTAAAATCAATTTAATTTTATCAAAACAAACCTAAATATTTTGATGTTGCAAAACGTCAACTCAATCAATGTCATTAATTACTTCCATAGATTTTATTAGATCATGATATTACTAAAAAGTTTTGGTTAAGGAGATTTATTTACGGTTTCTTCTGATTTGCACAAACAAATGCTTACTGCAGCGCCCCTTGGTGATTTAAAAGCATAAAACCTATCTAAGAACATTCACCAATCAAAATGATACCCATTACTGAAAACCGCATTACAATCGGACTAGTGGTTTTGGAGATATTTGGGAACATTGATTAGCACAAACAAATGTTTATTTCAGCTCACCCTGGTGAGTTTTTCACGTAATACCTACCTAAGAACATGCACCAAACAAATCCGAATCTATTACTGAAAACCGCATCAAAATCGGACCAGTGGTTTGGGAGATATTTGGTAACATAGGTTTGCACACACAAACAAACAAACAAACACACATTCTCTCACCCCAAACGCATATACCGTCTCCGTTCCGTCGTGGGTAAAAAAAATAAGATTGAGATACATCCTCGCATCACTTTTACAGCCATAAGCACCATATTCATAAGGAAAGGCTAAACATTTTTGAAAAATCAAAATTTGGTCCGCCCGACGAACGCTTACGCGGGGAAGCGCACTCCCGACCGAATTGGTCTCTCTGAGAGCGCCAGACGGTAGGCAAATATAATGACCTTGAGCGCGTCTGGAGCGGGAGTGTCGCCTCTAGGTGTGTTTACTCTTATGCCACATACTAAAATAATCAAGTGTGTTACTTTTTTGAAAAACTTGCAATAATTTTCACCGCAAGCTCGATTTGCACCAGCGACCTTCGCCATCTACTGGCGACGCCTCTACCAACTGGGCTACAGCAGCTCACTCCAAGCCCGCGAATTAAGCAAGTGCATTCGACCACTAATGCGTGGTAGGGCTTTACGAGTATCTACTGGGATAGTTTTTGCAAATAACTCCTTTAATGTTACTTTTCTTTTCTTCCAGGCATTCCCTTCGAAACCGCACCCAACAAGTTCGAAGCTCTCGCGTGCCACGACTCGATGGTGGAAGTATCGGGCGCGCTCAACGTATTGGCTTGTTCCCTGATGAAGATCGCCAACGACATCCGGTTCCTGGCTTCCGGTCCGAGATGCGGTCTGGCCGAGATCATGCTGCCCGAGAATGAACCCGGATCCTCTATTATGCCCGGTGAGTGGTGACCTACTTCTTCCCAGAACAACTTCTTTCCAAAACAACTTCTTCCCAGAACAACTCGTAACAACCACCCAAACACATCCTGGTGAGCCCTCGCTCCCCACCAAGTAGTTAGGTGTAGTTTAACGTAGAGCGAACGACCGATTAACGTAGAGCCAATTATATATAACAAAAGTTGACCTACCAGTGGCGAAAGGTTCATACATGCCGATTTCTACCGGCTTCCCTTTAGAAATTTACAAATCCATACTTTCACATCAATCTACTTTCAATTTGTTCATTTTTCTGCTCAGGCCAAGGCTCCGGCCGGCCTACCTTAACTAAAATGTCACCATTCCCCACTGTCACCTACCATCTACCACAAAATAGAGAGTTTACAGAAGGTTATCACTCGACCATATGACCATATTCAGGTTTTTGGCGATTGTCATTTTGTTACGTACATAGAAGCATAGAAGCCCCAAGATTTCTACTGTGAACATGCTCAAATTATATTAGAATATCAAAATAGTAAAATCAGATACAAAAACGTTGTATGATTCTGAATATTTTTTTATCTAAGAAATATGACGTTCTTCGCGGCAACAATTCTCTTAGTTACCTTGACTTTCCCTGAGATTCCAGTTAATGTCAGTAAGCGTCAAAATCATCGCTATATTCATCAATCATCGCGGTATTCTACAGGATACATTTCGGGGAGTGTGCACAGTCTCTCCATGACCTGATACCTCCGTCACGATTCCATCTCCGGTGCACGAGACGCCGGTTGGGATTCCACCCTTATATCGTAGACATCCCGCAAATTCGCACAAAGCGCTTCGCTTCTACATTTTTAATACGAACTGCTAAGGAGTGGAACTCCCTGCCTGCGGATCTGTTTCCGGAACGTTATAACCTGGGCCTTTTCAAGGCGAGAGTGAATAGGCATTATCTGGGCGAGCATGTTCCATCATCGTCTGCATCGTTACTTAACATCAGGTGAGATTGCGGACAAATGCTTACCCATTGTTTATATAAAAAAAAAAAAAAAAATGAGTGAGCCATCTGTAAAGATGGAGCCCCGCGCACCATTTATCTAATTTTTAGCTAAGCTATCTGTCACTACGCTGCGTCGCGCGTGTTATGGTGGATATTCGCCCTCGTCCAAGGCTAAGTGCAGTGGTAGTGAGTGATGCGATCTATTGTGCAATCGTAAATCAGTGATTCATAAAAACCGTCGGACACCTGCGGCGCCCGCCTTCCTTACTCAATCATCGAACGGGTTGGACACTCTTAGCTTTAGTAAATCTGAATAAAGATTGTTTCTAGTTGTAAAATAAAAATAGTTTATTTTTTAAAAAGATCCACCTCTGCTGCCTAGACGTGATTGGCGCAGACGGTAGGATAGTCGAGTCAGTGCGTGCATAGACTATCGTAGTTTTTCCGCCTGATCGCGTTTCAACGTGTAGTGTCGACTATCTCGAACTTTTCCGTCAAAGGCAGTGTGCTGTGTGGAGCAGAATATACATCCAGACATCGATGTACCTGTGGTGGTGGTGGTGAGCAAATGCACATGGTTTTTATCTTGGTTGTTATTCCCTAACTATCCAAAATTTTCCATCCACGCTCTTCCCGATCCAGGGCATCACCCCTTGATAGTGGTAGTCGTCAGTTTCGCCGCATCGCGCTGCGAGACGCTTGGCGAAACCTAGCTTTTAATTTTATTTTAGAAGAAGACGATAATTTAGGAAATATGTCTGACGAAGAAGTAACTATAGATACTGTCAGGCACTACGTGCGGTGCCAGAATTTGATGGAAATGTAAATATTTTAATGCGATTTATTACTTTGTGTGATAAGCTTGTCGAGTCTTATGTGAAACCCGGAAAAGACCATGAACTTGTCAACTTGACACTTTTTAATGGAATCCTAAATAAAATCACCGGACCCGCAGCACGCACATTGAACACGAATGGTTACCCGACCACGTGGCAAGGTGTCCGTGAATCACTTATAAATAATTTCTCGGATCACCGAGATGAAACATCATTATATACTGACTTGTCTTTACTCACACAAGGCTCAGACACGCCCCATGTTTTTTATGAAAGAATCCAAACTCTATTGAGTACTATCATAGCCTACATACAGTTGCATGAGTCTGTTGAAACCACTGTGTCAGCAAAAGGACCCTGTATAAAAATCTAGCTTTACAAACTTACCTGCGCGGTCTGAACGAACCCTTAGGATCCAGATTGCGTTGTATGAGACCTGAAACACTTGAAAAGGCTTTAGAATATGCACAAGAAGAGCTGAATGTTTTGTACTTACAGCAAAGAAATAATACAGTACCTATTTTTAAACCTGAAAAGTTTTCGTTTGTCAAAACTCACACTTACCTCAAAGGAACTTACAGCATGCTTTGCAAATGCCTTACCGTCCACAGCAACCCCAATTTAATCCCATGCAGTATCCTCAAAGGCCGCAGCCTTTTGCTGGACCCTCTCGGACCCAGCAAATGTTTAAAGCACTCCCACGCTCTAACATGTCGACTGGTTTTAAAATACCTCCCCGTCCACAACAACAGTTTCATTCCCCACAGTATAGACCCTCAGGACCAACACCTATGAGTGGAGTAAGCCACCCTGTTTGGCGACAGCTACCCCCTACTTCAGCCCCAAGAGACTGGAGAACTCATGGCAATCCGCCACCGTCAAATTACTTCAAATCCCGAGAAGTAAACATGAATGACTTTTATCCATACGACCAAAACTATGACGACGAATTTTATGACCCTGTATACACCGAAGACTCTGTATATGATTACGAACAAAACGAGCTGACACCTTATCACTCTGACCAGTACCAGTATAGAGAGATCCCGTACGTTGATGATTCATACAATTCCTATAACCCGTACCCACAGGTGGAACGCCCGTCGACCTCTACTGATTACGTAACTGAAACCGACAGTAAGAATGACCGACAGAAACAAAATTTTATCAAAGACCCGAAATCAACTTTACCAAGATAGAAATTAACATTCAGAATCAACGCCAACTTCCATACATACAGATAGGTAACCCACCTTTGAAGCTACTTATCGACACAGGTGCAAACCAGAGCGTTATAAGCCCCGACGTCGTACAAAAATACTTTCCACATGTTCCGTTACAATACGATCCCTTTATTGTGACAAACATTCATGCATCAACTAAGAATGATCACTCGATAATAATACCTACTTTCCAGGAATTTAATGACAACAGTCCTATGAAGCTTTTTGTTTACAAGTTCCATGATTATTTCGACGGTTTGATCGGTTCGGATTATTTAGATTATTGGAAAGCTGATATTAGCTACAAAAACAAGCAGTTAACAACTCCTTATGCGGTCAACCCTGTACATATGTACATCTCCCAAAATGTTAACCTATACGAAGATATAATTCCAGCGAAATCTTCAAAATTACTTCGACTCCCCGTTGATGTAAAATCCGGCGAAGTTATGATACCCGAACAAGTAATATGTAATTGCATTATTACTGATTGCATTAGCACCGCAAGTAACAACAGGTGTTTATTGGAAGTAACGAATCCAGGAACTCGTGACGTCATTTTCTCGCTAAGCGAGCCCGTCCAAGCGCAAATATTTAACACCGAGTTTGAGGCACGTGCCGTTGCAAGGTCGTCACCGCGAACTGCACATGTTTTATCACAATTAAGAACAGATCATTTAAACATCGAGGAAAAGGCAAACTTAGAGCTACTTTGCAAGCAATACGCCGACGTGTTTTATGTTGAAAACGAACCCCTAACGTTCACAAATAAAATCAAACATTCCATAAAAACACATGACGAAATCCCGGTTCATACAAAATCTTACCGTTACCCGTACGTACACCGCGAAGAAGTACAACAACAAGTCCAAAAAATGCTGGACCAAAACATCATAAGACCCTCTATATCTGCATGGAATGCACCCATATGGATAGTACCGAAAAAACAAGATGCTTCCGGCAAGATAAAGTGGCGTCTCGTTGTAGACTTCCGTAAGCTAAATGAGAAGACCTTAGATGATAGGTACCCTATCCCGAACATCAGTGATATTTTGGATAAGCTAGGTAGGTGTCAATACTTTACCTGTCTCGATCTCGCTAGTGGTTTCTATCAAATAGAGATGGACCCAGCTGACATACATAAAACCGCCTTCAGCGTTGACAAAGGGCATTACGAATTTCTAAGAATGCCCATGGGCCTAAAGAACAGTCCATCGACGTTCCAACGTGTTATGGACAACGTATTGCGAGGCCTAGACAACTGCTTGGTCTATCTAGATGACATCTTGGTCTATTCAACATCCCTACAAGAGCATATGAATTCCTTACAGAACGTTTTCCAACGCTTACGCGAATCCAACTTCAAAATACAAATGGATAAGTCAGAGTTTTTAAAACATGAAACTCCTTATCTTGGGCACGTTATCACTCGAGATGGCATCAAACCAAACCCAGATAAAATCGCGGCTATTCAAAAATTCCCCATCCCTAAAACACCAAAAGAAATAAAAAGCTTCCTTGGTCTTTTAGGCTATTATCGAAAATTCATACCGGATTTTGCTCGAATCACAAAACCGATGACATCACGGTTAAAGAAAGGCGCTAAAATAACAATGACCCCAGATTACAT